AATTATAGTAGAAAAAATAACATACCTCCTAGATACTGCATTAAATATTATATTTTTTTTATCTTGTTTGTATTTAATTATAAATAAAAAAATCAATAAATTTCATCTAGTTAGCATCTCATCGATTCAACTTGAATCACAAATTCTTTCAGGTGCTATCAAGTCTCTAAAATCCCCACAGATACCACGAAAAAGTTGAAATCTTTACTAATTTGATCTTGTAGCCTTCCTTGATCACAAACATACATTAACTTTTGCACGAAGAACGTGTTTGGATAGCTCGAAGTCTTGATGATTAACTCTTGGTCTTCTAGTGAAAAAAACAATATTGGTGAGGATGTGTTATGCACCATCTCACGTGAGTTTTGTAATTTTCCATGAATTTCTCATTTATTACTCAACGACGAAACTTTGTTTTTCAGACAATGATGAAATTTTTAAATTAAATAAAAAGACTAAACTATCCTCTTATAAAATATATCACACACCGATAACATATCAGTTACACAAAATTTCTGAATGTATTATGGTTTTATCAAATCCACAAATTAGATTCCTTTCTCTCTCTAGAAAACAAATTACCATCTCTCCTGAATTGAAACAAATTAGGGTTTATCAAAATCCATAAATTTTTGCAGTAGTAACCATGGCTTCCGATTCAATCAACGCCTCAATTCCTTCTGTCCCGAAAGATTTCGGCAAGAAGAAGAGGGTGCGTAGAGGAAGTAGACACCTTTTCTCATCATTCTAGGGAGGTCAGTTCTTGAATGAGATGACAAGAAACTGGCAACAAGTGTCATGCCATCAAGGGTTTTCATCTCTCGCCCGACCATCTTTGGCTGATCTTAGCTTAAATATGCATGAATAACTAGAATGTCTCTGTTATGCTCTAACATAAACTTTCCCTTCAATTTCTCACAACAAAATTCTCAAGGCATTTAGGGAGAGGCACAACAAGAACTTTCCAAGTACGCTCTGGTGGGTCAAAAAACGATCTTAAAAGGCAAACGATCAATTGCAGAAAACGATCTTATTCTAAATACTACTCCAAAGGCAAGCGATTTTGATAATTAAAAGTAACCTAGTCAGCATAACCAGCTTAAGGTGAACAAGCGAGACAAAATTATAAATGAGATCTTTGAGAATATCCAGCTTCATCATTACTTTCTAGGTTATTATTATTAGTAGTATTTATATCAATATTATTTTGTTCTACCTCAATTATAGAGTTATTTGGTTGTTCTTCAGTTACTAGTTTCATTTTTCTCTAAATTGGATCTAAGCATAATATTTTGTTGATTATTAACCGCAAATTTATCAAGTGCATCATTTTGAGATTGAATCAAAACTATCAATTCTTTTTTTTTATGAAGTTTTTCATAGATGTATATTTTCTACTAGGCATGTTATAAAAATAAAATACAACAATTCAATAATATATAAAATATAAATGAGAGATTTTCTACTAAATATTTCTTTCCTTGATAGATATACTTCCGACACTATTAATGAGAGATTTTGCTTATTTAAGTCATTTAAATGGCAAACACATGCCAGACAAGTTCCACATAATGTAATGACTTATCTTTGGTTTCTTCAGGCCCGTGACAATGGCGACTTCCAGACCAAATGTCACCATTCCTACTCCAGATCAGCTGACCATCTTCTATGGTGGAAGTGTTGTTGTGTTTGATTCAATTCCTGCAGAAAAGGTCTTCCCTCTCTAAAACTTTCAACGCTTGAATATATTTCTACGTGTGAGATTCCAGTCTAACTCTGTGAGATTCCAGTCTAACTCTCTACCATGTCCGTTTAGGTTCATGAAATTATGCTTGCTGCTGCTGCTGCTGTCAAACCTGGTGACATGAAAAAGAGTGGTTCTCCTACTGGTACACCAGTTCTTACAAGGTCTCCTTCAATGCAAAGCACTGCTGCACCCCAGCGCCAAACATATAGCCGTCAGAATTCCATCTGCAGAATGCAAGCTGGTAATGGTTAGAGAACATGACTGAAACACAGCAAATGTTCGAATTCAAATATTTTTTTGCTCTTTATCTTCTATAAGGAATATTGCTTAATGATTCTCATTTTAATTCCATTTTTTTTTTTTGGTTTTAGAATTGCCTATTGCAAGGAGACAATCCCTGCAGCGTTTCTTCAAGAAGCGACGGGACAGGTAACTGTTTGCGTTTTGAATTTCTCTGTCCATCTGTCTGTCTGGAATCTTATACTTCAAAACAACACGTAACTTCATGATTTTGTATCTGGCATTGCATCCAAGTTGCTGTGCTCTTATGTGTTTAATGGTTCCACGATGCACAAATACATCATCTGGGCTGCTTGACCCTTGTTTTGAACTTTGTTAATTCAGGTTGGCGAGCAAAAGTCCATATCCCACTTCGCCAGCAGGAAAAGAGGCAGACACCACAGAACCTGGTATTAGTGTCGCACCTCCACCAGATACAGGTTGCTTTGGAAAACCTCTAGCATCAGAAGAGCTTCAACCGAAGGCTGCTGCCAACGTTGTTTGACCAATGCTAAGGGCTTCTCATTTATCATTTAAAACTTCTACCGTATGAGGTTCTTAACATTGACGTATTATTCGTGCAAGATGTCAAGTGCACTGGTGATGATGGTTTAGTTACTTTTGTATGTATTGGACAACATGTACAATTTCTCATTGAAACTGATGGGATTTTGTTCACACGTCTGCCCCTTACTGCCAAAGGCACTTGGAATATCTTCTGAACCAGCGCCGTGAGGATATGAACTGCCGTAAACAAGTGATATAATTGATGTGTGGTTTGCTTGTTAATGTACCCTCTCCAGTGTTGTGCCACCCTATTGGAAGACTTTTTCATGCAAATTACGATCAGTCAATGATTTTTTAGACTGGCCATGCAGATGTGAATGCAGAGAATTGTACCAGATGAGCTCCCTCATGTTGTTCTTGATGAAGATAGAAAATAGGATCCATTAACCAATTTCGTGCACATGAAGTCACTTCGCCTTCTAATTTGACTCTGATATCTGTTAAAGCAACGCTATATAGGCTGGATTATAGCCTCAACGAGCTCCAGCAATTCCCCTCTCGAGTTTCCTGGCTTGAACTTCTTTAGACAGGGTGCTGTGCTACTGCCAGGATCGATCATAAAATGCATCTATCTGCTCGTTTATCCCTCTGAACTCCAGTTTTTTTAAGAGGTTGATCTGGATATTCCCATCCACAAACCGTTGCTCATATTCATCGTGCTCATTTGCATAGTATCGAGCAGTATTACCGAATTCCCCGTCCTCCCCTTCCCCGTCTCTTTTAGCAGAGATGACAATGAATATGTCAGCGGTTTGGGGACTGGAAAGCTAAAGGAGGAAGAAGGCTATAAAGTGGTCAATTCACTCGCTCGAAGTCCTGCACAAGAAGAAAAGAGAGAAGCTACAAAGGTCAGAAAAAGTGGAAGAGAAAATGGCGGGTCTGAAGGGTCAGGATGTTACCTGGGAATGGGAGAAACAGATGGACAGTTGGATGGAAAGGAAGGCTGCATGGAGAACACGTGGATTCCACTCAAGAACCAAAGGACATATCAAGCACCGACAGTCCAAGCAACGACAGCGTTTCGAGAGTCAAGCAAAAGACAGCAACAATTAAAGACAACAGACGAGGAAAACAATCAGAAGATTAGGGGAAGATTGAGTAGGAAATGTTTTTGAACAAATCACATGACACAGAAGGCCCGACCTCCTTCGAATTTATCAAAAAACTGTCTACTTTATTTATAATTACACCTTTATCTTTGTCTACTCCATTCTTATCCACAAATAAATCTCATAATTCTCCCTAGATTTAATTCTTTCCCTTTTCTATTTCAATTCTATAAACCCTAAATTTATCAATTTGGGAATTATCTTACAGGTTTGTTACAAAATTAGTATCAGAGCAGGACTATCCAGGAAGCATGGCAGAAGGAACCAGAGTTTCACAACTCTTGGAGACGGTAGCACCGATGAAGCAACAACAACAAGAGCAGCAATGAAGAGAGGATTAAGGCCCAATAACATCGAGACCCAATACAAACCCAATATGATGGCCACTACCTGAGCTGATTCCAAAATGGGTTTGCCTATTATAGACATTGATGCCAGCACAGCTGAAAGAAAAAAAAGGACAGAGGGCTTTGCTTTAAGTGGAATGTCAAATGCGCCTTGAGGCATAAATATTATGGGTTTAAGTTATTCTTAATTGATTTTTTTCTCTCTTTTTATCCTTTTTATTTGAATTGAAATATATAATTTGTTTTCGTTTGATATTTTATAAGTTTATTATGGTTTTAAATAAATAAATTGATATTTAAATAAAATTCAATTTTACATATATTTATTATAATTAAACAAAAAATAAAAAAAAACAAAATTATTAAACTAAGCTAAGTTCATCATCAGGCTTATACATTATTTAATTAAATATAAAATAATCTTAAAAGAAAAATAAAATACAAAGAAGTTTATAATCTAGATCAGTCACAAGTTTATAAAAAATAACAGAATTTTAATTGATTCAATATATTATTGTTTCGTATTTAAAAAATTATATAATTTTTAAATTTTAATTCTTCTTTTTAGTTTGCTTTAAAAAAAATAAAACTTACAGACAAGTTAGGCAATAAAACACCAGTCAATCTAATATTGTGAATGTCATCATACACTGCCATGCCGTGAATTCTTGGTGTTGAAAATAGCAATTACTGTAAAATTGTGCTGCAATCAATGAATGCACGCAATTGCTTCAGATCGATAAGCAATTTGAAAGAAAAACCGGTACCTGCAGAACAGCTGCAGTATCTCTTTCATTAATCAAAGAAACGTGCCAACTTTCAATGATAAACGAAGTTCATACATATATTGCGCGCATTTGATTTTCTATTTTGTCTTCAAAGGAAAGAAAAATTCATAATTTTAGACGCCATGACAAGAATTGATCCCTGCAAAACATTTCTCCGGTGCCACTTTAAGTCAAGGAAATTCCATAATCTTGACTCCGGGAAGTGATGCCCTTCATTCTGCTGCCTTCACTTTCTCAATGAGATCTGCAGCATCTTGAACAGTTGTAATGTTCTCCGCTCCGCCTTCGCCAATTGACACGCCAAATTGTTCTTCCAAAGCCATCATTATCTCCACCTGAAGAAATTTACAGCTCAGTTTATACAGGGTTCAGCTCCCGAAGTGATATTTCAGAAGCCGTCACACTATTAAATTATACTCTTCGTCAATCTCACGTTCAATTTTCTTTATCCCTTTCTAGTTATCCGAGGCCTACTCTGTTATGCTACCGTGTCAAGGGATAGAAAACTACCGTGTCAAGGGAGTCAGCACCCAAGTCAGCAAACTTGATTTCAGGAGTCACTGTGCTCACATCAACAGACAGTTGCTTAGCAATGGTGTTCTGGACGGTTTCCAGGGTTTCAGGCAGAGCCTAGTCATTTAAATATTGCACTTTGTAAGCATCACAAAATGGCATAAAACGAAGTTGCAAAGAAAACAAATGGCAGGGAACGAGGAACCGGAACTTCTTACGGAGCATGAAATTGCGGTCTTGAAGAATCTAGGCCTGGCAGAGGAAATGCTAGCTGCGTTTGAGAATTGGATTTTCTGGACATGTTTTGAACCGAAAAATAGAGAGCCTCCCTGCATTAAGATTAATATTTGCATCAGTATTTATTAATAAAAGGAATTTATATAATTACCATACCTTTCATAACATAATTAGAAATGGGAAGTGTCCCTAACATTAACAGAGAAGCTCTTTTGCTGAATAGCAGTGAAGCTGGCCCTAGTAGTGGTGGGCAGGGCCACCAGTGGACAGGCAGGGGTTGCAAGGAAGCTGGCCATATGCGCTGTTCAACAGTTGTAACCACAAAAAATGCAAACAAAAGTTATTTGAAACAAGAAAGTGACTTGATCAAGTTTGAAGTTAATTCATGTATATAGGGAGCTTCTATGAACTAGCTCCCAGGACATCAGGGGAAAAGGTGATGATTCCAATGTATGTTTTTGTCGTGTAGGCCCTGGAGCATGGCGGTCTCTCCCATGGCGCCCGTCTGCTTATTGTTGTAAAGAGCTAACTTCCAAGCAGTCCTAGCTTACACTTAATGAATAAATTACAGCCAATGCCAAATTTAGCTTCTTACCGTTTGATAAACGACGGAGATTTAAGTTGCGTGTAGAATCATCTGAAGTAATTTGAGCAGATCTCTTTTTAGATTTAAACCTTTGCTAAACCTTCCATATTGTCTATTTAAATCATATTTTTATGCAGCTGTGTCGGATTGAACATCAACATTGATGTGATACAAGCATGTTGAGCCATATCCATTCAAGTATCAGCTCTGGTTATTTTCCTTTGTTGCAGCTACATTGCCATTGCTGCTTCTTCTTTTTTTTCACACTTCTTCAACACTTAAATTTAATTTCCCATTGATGAACAGTTCTAGTTCCTGCGATTTTAAATGATACTTGATCATTTAACAACTAAATATTATCTTGCTAAAATGTTGTTTTGTCCAGGTCTCAGTCTCCTATCGAAATGCCATAAAACAGAATCGTAGATACCTCTCCTTTTCCAGACACGTTCAGAAGCTTCAAGACTCGATGAACAAGCTTCCGCATCACTGAAACATAAAGCTTCCAGCTCTTCTCCTAAATAGGTTTGGTTCTCCTTCTCTATGCCATTTACTCGACAACTACTTGGTTTCATGGGTAGTTTGGCCAGCATGTCGGTCTTATAAAAGGCCACGAGTTCGAAACGGTTTTAACTACTATACTTTTAAGAAATCATAATATCGAAACGGTTTGTTTAAAATAAAAGTAGCTAGTGGGGGTGAATGATCAACAAGTTCATGTGGCCTAGTTGTGAAGGAGACAAGGGGGTATTCCTCGGCTTGGACTGCGTAGGTTTAATTCTTATTGTTAGCGTTTTTTCGTTGTATTTTCTTCATGGTTCATTCATTTTTGTTTTTGGTAAACTTTATATATATTTTTTATTTTTTGATGGTTTTCAAGGCCTTCAAGAAGAATATTTGTAAAACACAGGGATTATAAAATTTATAATTAATATTTATATCATCGTGTTACTAAAATCAACAACTATGTAAATAAAAATAAATTCATTAATTTTTTTTAACACAATTAAACTAAATCAATTTCTAACATGATATATTTTCATCGGCCACTAATTAATTTTTTTTTATCATATTATACATTAATTACTAATATCACTTTTATAACAACTTTTTAATTTACAAATAATTTTTTAGCTAATCTCAATTAAAATTAATATTTACATTTTAAAAATTTATCAAATTCATTTCATACCTCATTTCACTTAACAATTATAATTAATTAAATCATTATTTCATCTCACAATCACATTTAATTCATAACACATTTCTTATAACAACTACATTTAATACATACCATTTTTTTAATCTTGCAATCACATTTAATTTATATCTTATTGCATCCTTCAATATTCCTTCCATTTTAAATACACACTCATTTTGATATATTTTGGCTTCTCAAACATAGATTTCTTTCCAAACCCCGTATCTATTTTACCAATTATGACTCATCCATGTATTTTTCAATTTAAAATATTCTTTATGCCCAATTATGACACATACAAATATTTATCCCTCTTATTATTCTTTATGTACATTTATGACATACAAATATTTATGTAATTATTAATGAGCTTAGTTAATACTTTAAATAAACCTTTTTGGATTCCTTTGAATCCATTTCTATACTTAAGGTCTCACTTTACATCAATTACATATTTGTTAATTTATTTCATATTTTTATTTTTATTATCCATCATTTCTATACACATTCACCCTCATGAGATGAGTGAGAAGTATAACGGTAAAACATACTAGGAGATAGAAAATGTGATATGTGTGTGCAAAACCATTCTCTTCTAAAAATTTATTTATAACTCTTGAAATCATCGTTAATCCTTATAAAAAAAAAACTTTAAAAACATTGCCACCATTTTAATTATATTCATAACCCTTGTTGAGCATAAACTCTCCTTCCATTTATTTTACACATAAACTACTTTCACCTTTCATATCATAAATATTTTAAAATTTAATAAACTTTTTATCTAGTAATTTATATCAATTAATCATGAAGCATCATTTAAATCAACTAAACATATCTTTTCACCCCAATATTTATGGGTCTTATTTTACACCAACAATATTCAATAGACCTTTTCAAAAATGATAACTTATATTTTAATCCAATTTGAATTTATTCTCACATTTCCTTATTCAAGACTTAAACCTTATTATACTCATAATCACTTACCTAATTAACTATTTTTGGTTTAATTAATTTTATATACTTCATTAATCTAAAAAATGCTCAACATACACTCTTTTTTAACCGAGAAATTTATTAATTTTAAAGATAAACCCATATTTAAAACTCTTATAGGTTCTATATATATATATATATATATATATATATATATATATATATATATATATATATATATATATATATATATATATAATATCATATTCACATCATATCGCATTTTCAACCAACAAATATCATTAATTTATTCTAATTTCTATTATGTCACACATCAATAATACTTTCCAATATCCATATGCTTTTTTATGGTTCATCTACATAATTTTCAACCTTAATGATTTTTTAACTAAATTTTTGTTTACTTATCTATTTTCATTCTTAAAATACTTATTTCTCATTCATTCCATTCATTTCAATATTATGTCATTGCTAAACCCTACACATTTTAACGAGTCTAAACATGTACTAACTCAAACTTTTTTTAAGATTTATAGCTAATGTTTATATGGCTGATTAAGTTCTTTTTTAATCCATAGACCCCACACAGGTAATTGACCCATAAATATCTAATTAGTAGCCCTAACTCATGTGGTTGACTCATAAACATTTTATTAACCACTCATGTGGTTAACTAAAAAATATTTGATAAATAGCCCCCAATCTTATAGCCAATTTAAATATCTGATCATTAGCCCATACTCATATGGTTGGCTTAAAACTTGTATTATAAGGTCCATTGTTGTGAACGAATACAATTTATGTACACTTAATTTCATTGTTGAGGTCAAATGCTATTCATGTAAAGGTTATCATCCTTGTGGTCAATTTCAATTAAATACTAGAAACCATTGTTAGGTTCATTACAATTATATAATGGATACCATCATTGCAGTTTATTATAATTATCTATTATTTGTTGTTGTTGTGGTTTATTACAATTATCTATTATTTATTGTTGTTGTTGTTTATTACAATTATCTATTTGTTCATATCATTGTGTTAATCACAATTTATCTATTGATTAACGTGATTATAATTTATTATAAAACACATATAACTTTGTAATTATATGCAACACAAATAAATATTTTTTGAAAATATAAGAACAATCAAAGCATTTTAAGTAATTAAAAACAACAAGGGAGTGGTAATCCTTTACTTTAAGAAATATTGGACAAATGTAATTGCCTATCCTTTCATGCCCATACATGTGATCTCTTTTTATATTTTTCTTTAGTTTTTTTCTTAAATTTTGAAGAAAATTCAATATAAATAAAATTATATTTAAGATATTATTCAATTAAATATCATTTAATTTTGAAATTATTTTCAAATAAAATTGTAGCATTTTTCTAGTAAATTAACAATCGTTTTGTGTTTAATGAACTATATGATCATGAATATACAATTATTAAAATTTCAAGATACTATATTATACCATGTTATCATGAATACTAGATGAAAACAAAATTTCAAACTTTTTTTTAATTTTTTTATATTAATTATTGTTTTCCAATCCATAGCCCCCACATTGATAGTTGGCCAATAAACATCTAATTAGCAGTTCTAACTCATGTGGTTGGTGCATTAACAACAATCATTAATACTCACACCATTAAATTCAATAATTCATCTATAAAAATTTTCATATCATAAATTTCAAAAATTCAAATTATCCATACTCATCAAAATTTGCAAATTAATGCTCAACACATCACAAACCAATAATTAATATTCAATATATAATTTTCCACACTTACATGTCCATTTTGCATTCCAACATACACACTTCATCATATTTTTTATATTTTAATTCTATCCGATTATACTAAAACATATTAAATTTATATTTTCTTTGTATTAACACATATCAACCAAATTTAATTCCAACAAAACTAATCACCTAGCCTAACAAAATCAATTTACCTAAACTTTTTCAAACTTATATATATAAACTTTTCAATTACATAATAACTCACTCTCATCATATTTACAATTACCCTTAAACATCCAAAACATTTAAGACAATGTAATTTGACCATTTAAACTAATAGCTTGGTAAATTTTTAATAAACTTTCATAATATTATCATAACTCTCTTAGTACATTTTTTTTTGATATGTTACTTTAATGCAAACACAATAATCAATCCAATTCACAAATTTCATATACAATTTAATCAATTATTAACTTTTATATTAACAAAGACACACACACATACACACATAGAGCTATTCAAACATTAAATAGTAAAAGTTCCATGCTTCTTGCTCTCCTCTAAACCAATCCCATTTAATTCATTATCTCCAACACATTTAGTCTAAAATTCTCATTGGTTTCATTACTTCTTTACACATTTAAGTCCCTAACATTTACATAAACTCTTTTCAAGCACATTTCACATAATACCAATATGTATTTATATACATAATTTATTTTAATTACTAATTTTAAAACTTTCAAATTAGCCTATCAACATTTAACATCACAAATATACCAACTCCAAGTTTAATTCTTTTCTAAACATACATTGACACGACCAAAAGTTTGATATCTTCTTACAAGTGTAAGAGTGTCGAAGTAATAAAAAACCCGATAAGACCAGTGTTGAACCATATAGAGGTTAACTATATATATTATAAATAATAATAATAATGATGGTGGTGATGGTGATGGTGGTTAAGTTTGTGACTTTATGAGTAATCAGATACATTCATCATAAATTTTTGTATTCGCGTCAAAAGAAAAGTGACCACTTAAAGACAAAGAATAAATAATATATATTTCTCTAGTTTGCTACCTTGGTTGTAGTAGTGAGAAGAGAAGATTACGAGTTGAGTTTTCGTGTGAATCAATTATGTTGGTTACATAATAAATACGACTAAATTTGAAATTTTGTATGGATATTTGATTTAGAAAATGTGAGTATGTTTATTTTTCTTTATTTGTTATTGTGTATACACTAAGTTGAAGATATCAATATTTGCATGATAGGTCCTTCAAGTGTGATGAGTCGAGCCTAATTATAATTATTATTATTCATTTTATTTCAAAGGTTTTATGTTTTGTTTTGCTTGAGGACTAACAAAATCTAAGTTAGGGGGTGTGATTATGCATAAAAAATATTATTAAGTCTCTTATTTTATGTATTTATTGTTTTTATTTGAGTTTTTTTATAACAATTGATGTGCTTTTAGTAATGAAGTTTCTTTTAATGTTTTGATAGGTTTTTGGAGCGTAAATGGATTATTTCAAAAAATTTAACGTTGGAATTTGGAACAAAAGAACTGAAGAGAAATTTAGTTGAAGTTTGAAGCAAATCTTGGTTCAAATAAGTGTTCTAAATTTGCTCCAAAAATCAATTCTATTCAAATCCTAGAAAAGATTATC